AACAAGTGCCTTACTAGTAGTAACAAGAAGCTACTAGGAACAAGTGCCTTACTAGGAACCATTTCTTCTTCGCTGTGTGGGTTCTGGAAGGGTGGTATACTGGGTGGCGACTTCGACGAAGCGATCCACTTCCCCTAGCTGGCACCGCTGGCGCTCGATCTAAGCTCCGGAAAAGACATCGAAACATGTGCCCCAGAAGAGGATTGACCCAAAGGGGGAACAACCAATCACCTCCAGCAGTTCCAAAGGGGTCGGGCTTCCCACCACTTCCACTCACTGCATGGGAACCCCAAAGAACCCGGCCTCTTTGGAACCTGCTCTGAAACCTGATCCGCCAAACTGGCATGCCCGGCCTTTTCGCCCCAAACCGCCGAGAGGCCGGGATCTGGCAGTGCTCCAGCGCCAGTTTCACTTCGCCCATGGAGGCGCATTCCACCCCAAAGCCCCACCTGAGACCGCCGCGGCGCGCGGCGCATCGAAGCCGCGGCCCGCGCACGTCGCGGTTTCGTAGAGCTCCGCAGCGCGCGGTTCGGAGCTGGTTCGGCCCAAGGAGGAGGCGACGGGATGCGCGTCGCATGGTTTCAAGATTTGGTGGGTCACATGGACCACCAAATTGGAATGGTGCACAGTTTCGAGGAGGTCAGAATGGCAGGGCGGTCTATTTTTTCGTCATGCTGCTGGAGCCACATTCCTCTTAGGCGAAGATGCCGGCTATACCCCCAAAATTTACGCCGCCGGGCGGACTTCCTTGCACAACGTCTGCGCCCTCCAACAACGCCCAAACCGCCAGCAACGTCTGCTTCCTCTCCTGTGGGGGTCGATGGTCGATCCTCTCTCTCCCCGCCTCTCATAGGCGTATCTCATCAGTCGGCTCAACGGGCAGGCCTTGATCGCCATCCGATGTTGCACCTGAATCGAACGATGCCGGTTTCTGGCGAAGCGCCCTGCGCTTCGGCCGGCGCTTCGCCAGGTGAAATGGACGACCCCACTGCGGCTAGGGCGGCTAGGGGGCCAACAGACATGGACATTAGCGGAGTGTAGGGCAAACAGAACACATGGAACAAACCACCGAAACCACGACCTGGTTCTTCAGTTCGTGACCGAAGTGACCGAAGTGATCTCTTGCTGGGACGAGCTCTGGTTGCTTCCGTCACGACGTCGTGGGACGAAACGGTCCGACCGATCGACGGGAAGAGAAGGACATGAAGACATGAATCAAGCAGGTTCACCATGGTTCACCATGGTTCACCCTTCACAGGCAGCGAGGTCTTCACCCAGTTTCCTGGCCAGTTTCCTGGCGAGATCGGTCATCAGGCGACGATCGACTAGGCCGAAGGGCGAGCTGTTATGTCAGACATCAACGCGACATGATCGATATGTACAGCACGAGTGGGGAAGTGGAGATATGAGAGGTAGAACCGCCCTAAACATATAACTCTGTTCAAAATTGTCCAAAGCAATCATCATTTTCTAATTTTTTTTCCCCTTGACATAGTCTTGCACAAGAACCGAGAAAAATTGGCGCTGTGCAACTTATTTGGTTCTATTTCTATTTTTATCAATATGCCCTCATGGGCATTGTCTTTAACTACACCGGATGACAAGTACGTACAGTCTCTCCCCCGTTTCACTGTCGGTGTTCAGCGTGAGAGGTAGTGACAAGATGGCAAAACAATTGGATTCCTGCTCGCTTGCTGTGCTCATGCGTGGACTTCAGGATCGATACCCATCCCTCAGCACCCAGTGAGGACCCCTCAGCTTTTTGGCTTCAACGAGTCAGTGAGTTCATTCCAAGATATCCCAAGTAAAGGTTTTTCACACCGAGCTGCCTGCCACCAAGCCCTGGACTCTCTCCCAACCCTCCCGCTTTCGCGGCTTTCGCGCTCAGACGGAGAGGTCCAAGGCACCGTCGATCCAAAGGCCTCCTTCAAAGTGGCCAGGTGAGCGTCAAAGAGATCCAAGTCATAGAAGACACACAAAGGCACCTGATGGCGGTCCAAAACACGCTTTCTTGCGGTGCGCGTGCTCAAGCGTGCGCTTTCTGCGTGGGTTCCAAAGGCGATGAGGTTCTTTCATCACATTCTTCGCTATGCCGGGACCTTCAAAGGGACCTTTTGAGATCGGATGGGTCACTTGGAAACTCCAAAGAGGTCACAAAGTGAAGGTCCTGGGGGATTCCGGAATCCTCTTGAACCTCTTTGCCTTTGCTGGTCATACTGTTCATGGGACACCTTCCAGCCTTTGAGCACCAGCACCTTGCGAGATCCCAGCCGCGGGGTGTCCATGAACGATCCTGACCGGTGGGCCCTAATTAGTGGTCCTCAAAGCGATGATCAAGCAGGGAATGGTTCAACATGGTTCAACGACCAATGAAACAAACAGTTCCTCATCTCCAAGGAAGCCACGATTGATTTGCCGGGCCGAAATCGCCTTTGACTTCTGCTTCTTCGCATCCGTCATATTTCTTCACATCCGTCATATGGTCCTCTTCATATCCCTTTTAGCACAAGTGCAAAGGACCTCATCATTAGAGCATGAGAAAGCCTCCACCTGTTCCTACCCCCAAGGCCATCGGGTGTCCGAAGCCCCACGGTCCATATGTTCTCTCATCTGAAACAAGAAGCTACTAGGAACAAGTGCATGGCTTCTAGCAACAAGTGCCTTACTAGTAGTAACAAGGACGCTACTAGGGGCTCCTTTTCTCTCCATTTCTCTTTTATCTTTGGGATCCAGTCGTCCCGCAGATGAAGCGGTCAAGAGACCCCAATGTGCGTCACATGTGCGAGGCCGATGTCGCACAGAATCCTCGAGGTCCAAACAACATTCCCTTAGACATGTTAACAGGTCTATCAGATGCTTATCATATATGCTTTCTCTCTTTATTGGAAGGCAAAAAACCTCTCCGCCCCCCCAAACAGATACACTCGGGAAGGTTAGCATGGGACCTGAAAAGCACTGGGTTGTAGAGGAAAATCATCTTCCAAAGGTCCATTTTCAGGTTCCATGTTAGTTTTCGGGAGTGTACCCAACCTCATTTAACCTCATTTGGGACCTCTTCAACCTTACGGGCTCCTCCTCCTCATCCTTCCTGCTTCCCATACCTCCTCGACCCGGCGTGCCTCCTCCTCCTCACCGTCGAAGAGCCCCTGCCGCACCGCCGCCGCCAGCGGCGCCGCGCAGCTGCCGCCGCCGCTTTTGGCGCAGAACGCAGCCGAAGGCGAAAGCGAAGGCGGGGCACTGGTGAGGGGCGGCACGCGGGGCATGGCGGAGTGTACTAAGCTGGGAGCAGGTTTTTGGGTTCCGGGTTCAGTTGAGATGAAGGTCGTTTTGGTCGAAAGGCATGGTGAGGCCAGGACTCTTCCATGAATAGTTTGGCGCAAGGAGTCCGTTTTTTTGGGTTCAAATTCGTGCAGGTGGCTGGGTGGCTGAAAAGCGGTTCCAGGCTGCTGAGACGTCAGGTTGGTTGACAGGTGTGTGGCACTGTGAGTGGCCCATGCAACTGCATCAGGATGGCGATCGGAGTTCAACAGTGATTCGTTCATCTTCGTTCACGCCTGCATAGGTGTCATCACACTTACTTGTCAATGCACATGAGGCAGTACGTAGTACTGATGAATAGACTCCATACTCACCAACTGATTTAATGTCAAGGTCGGCGCAGACTTGGCGCAGTTCTTGGCGTTCAGCTGAGAGTGAGCCAGTGGCTACGCTGGTGCTTCGCGGGCTCGACGCTGGCCGACCAGGACATTCTAGGACCAAACTTATTGGCCACCAAAGAAAACGCGGGCCCTTTTTGATCTTGTCTTCATCGGAGAAGGGAGGGAGTTGTTCATCTGTTGGTCAAGAAGGTAGCACCCCACTCGTGAAAAAAGATGTTTGACGCTGTTCACCCCCTGTCTCAACCATTTTTAGAGAACATTGACGGTACCCGTGAGGACATTCAACTCCCATTCAAGGAACTGCAAACCAAACAAACGGCATAACAAGAGGTTTGGGAGTATGACGCCTGGGCCATCGTGGAAGGGACATCATCAGATCATGCCATGATTGGATGGATGGTTTATCCATCTATGGGGAAAGCAAATCAATTTGCACATCTAGAACTACTATTGGTGGCCTCAAAAAATTCTAAGCGGAAACCAGCGTTTGGTGCCAAAAACAGCACGCCGAATCGCACCAAGCCCGAAGCACATCGGGGCAAGCGAGCTACTCCGGACCAAAGCGCGGAGCCCAAATTCACCAGATTTTCCCACTAACCTGTGGAGTCTCTACACCTGTCTGTCTCTACACCTGTCTGTCTCTACACCTGTACCGTGGAGTCTCTCTCACTCCAACGAATCCATCTGAGCATCTTCGCCCCCACGCGGTCAGGCCGTGTCGACCGAGCGTCGGAGCACGTGGAGCGCATCGCGTACCGCCTCGACGAGCTTCGTGTGGCTCCCCCGCCTCGGGCGGTGACGAACGCAAGGAACCGCGAGGACGTCGGACGGTCGTGTACGAACTGCGTTGAGTCTAAGTTTTGTTTTGGGAAGTGAAGGACACCAGACATACAGAAACCTTGGCACCTGAGTTTCTTTTGAGAGCTTTTTTCAGACACAATGGCAGTTTGATCTGAAAGAGAGAACCACCAGACGGGGTGCTGGAAAACGACGGGTTCCCATTCGAAGAACAGACGTCTTGTTTAGAAAAACACTGATTCTAATTACGAGATCTGCCGGGATTTTCATGCCTCGTTGGTCTGATTCGTCTAGATTTCTTCAGGTCTGGATTTCCCTTTCAACGAACATGACACGAAACTTAAATGGTGTTTGACGTTTTCATTCTTTTCGCTTGCTAAATTTATAATAGTCAGACACCAAACACGACCAGTCTGGGACTGCCATAGCACTGCCGATCAATTGACAACCACCCCTGGCCGTGCTCGGCCATGCTCGGCAGTCCCATGGATCATCGTGTCGCCGTGGCCACCGATCGGACGACCCCACCAGACCCTATGGCCTTCGGAGAGTTCTACGGCCCCACGGTCGACTCGGCCCTTGTGTCGGCCCCACGGTGGAAACGGCGGGTCTGGTGGACACGCTTCGGTGAAGATGAGATTCTGTGGGCACACTTCGCCCAAACTTCGTACCCAGAGGTTCTGAAATCCATGGAGACCTAGCTTTGCAGGAGCATTCCAAACACCTGTGACCTTGTTTTGTAGTGTTAAAAATTTGTGAGAAACCTTACATGGTGGTTTGGGAAGAACATATCAAATCCATGGTGGGTCACAAATCCGGTATGGTGGTGATCCTTCTGCTGCTTCCTTCTGCGTCAACGCACCAAGTGTCGAAGCTCCAAGCTACGTCAAATTGCAATGGTAGACGCCCGTCTTGGTGACTTGAAAGCGACAGAAGTGGGCACTTTGGCCGGTCTCCTGCGTGTGATAGCCTCCCGCCTCCCGCCTTTGCCAGGAGAGACCGAACTTAAAACGCATCTCAAGCACTTGGAACATATATCGAAGTCCATGCAGTATGAGTTTGATGCACCAAGAGAGCTCAAAAACACCTCTTACACCCTCAATTGGTGATGGAATATCGCCTAGACTGCCAGAACCTGACCATTTCACAACTCCAGACTCCGCTTTTGTCCCCGTTCACCTACTCGAACCCGGAGCACCCGTGCCGAGGTGGCAAAACACCGGCCGCGGTGTGGCCGGCCTGCTCGGATGGACGGTATTGCCACGGTGGTCGCCTATCTAATAGCTTCCATCCTAAACCCGTTACAGGAAGAAAACGAACCACACGCAATCACATGCATATAGAAGAGGAGTATTTTTGCTATTCTTTTCGCATCAGGTAGTATGGGTAACATCATGAGCTGTCATGTCCAGGCCAACACCACACCCACATCCAGTCTCCTGGATCCATTCTTCGAAGTCCTCCATCTGGCGCAACGACAACCTCGACGTCCAAGGTTGGAGGTCCTGGGAGATCTGCTCCTGAAGCGGGACGGCGGGTCCCAAACAAGCGCTGGCTGCTAAACGCTCAACGGAACTCAAACACCGCCAAAACGGAAAAAGGATGAAAAGGTTTGAATGGCAACCCTAAATCAACCAGACATTGGATGGAACTCCAGTCCCAACCCACATTTGGCATATTGAAACATCATCCAGAACTGTTTCTGCTTGGGACTGGGTTTTCCACGTGGATCTTCCATCTGAAATCCAACTTTCTGCCTCATCCATAAGAAACAGCCAAGTCCGGGTGAACCTTTGGCATGTCGGTTGGATTCGGAACAGCGGTGGCTCCCGAATCCTGCGAACTTCCCCTGCCACCACCTGGTCACCTGGCCCTTTTTTTGTCGGGTTTGGTCGGACTCCGGAGTGGGAGTTACGATTTGTCCGTTCTACATAGCGCGAAACTATCCATCTTGTTTCATCTTAACTGTTTCAGCAGGGTTCCCTGTCAAAACATGCTTGAGCCAACCATATTGAAGCAAAAGGAATAGTCTAACAATAGTATGAACAGCCGTCCATACCGTCAAAAAACCTAATACCTATAGCCTAGCGCTGCTGGACGAGTGGACCGAATCCCACCCCGACTCGTTCAGCCCAGGCGACGGACATCCAGCGGGGCGGAGGCGTCTCCAAGGCGGCGCGCAGCCGCAAGAAGCAACACTCCACGTAACCTGGAGCAGGAGTTCCGTTGGCCATCCGGAACCCAAGCGGATGGCTAATTTTCAGGGCCGCATGGCATTTTGTTGGTGCGCAGAAAAGAAACACCATGGCCAACAAACGGCCCGATGCTCCAAAAAGTTCCCCAAAAAGGAACACAATAGGGACAAAATACGAGCACGAGGATGTTTTGGCGCGTCAGTTCTTCTTTTTTCAATTAAGGGGCCCATTGTAGGTTGAGATGCGATTGTCGCACGTTGTGATGCAGGCACAGTTGTCACCTGCATGCAGGCACAGTTGAACATGACTCGTCATGATGCGTCGGGGTGGGACCCATTGGTCTGCCAAAGCTTGGCAGTTCTCAAGCAGAACTCTCTGCAAGCAGAAGTCTCAAACTCTCACACTTGGCCAACCTCAAGTCCGGTTCGGGTGATCTGGAGGTTTCCAGTCCCAACCAGGAAAACAAGACATTGGATGGAACTCCTCAAGTCCCAACCCACTTGCTATGTGAAGGATCTCAAGCTAGCCATATTGGAACATCCAGAACTGTTTCTGGTTGGGACTGGGGTTCCAGGTGGATCTTCCAACTCAAATCCAACTTTCTGCCTTTTCATCCATACGAAACAGCCAAGTCCGGGTGAACATTTGGCATGTCGTTGGAAGATACGGGTCTAAGCCTTGGCCCTTCTTTGGCATGCCTTGCAGTTCCGAGGGCGAGTCGTCTGCTTTCGGCCGCGCGGCGCAGCGAGATGTTCAAGGCCAAGCCATGCGGATGCTCCTCCGCAGCAGTGAAGCCGCGCGGCGCGCGGCGTCGTGGGCGTCGTGGTCGTGGGGTCCCAGGGTGGAGACCTCCGTGACCGAAGGATTGAGGGGGTGGGGGGAGGTGCGAGGTCAGCAGTCAAAGACTTTTTGATACCTTTTTATAGTTTTGGGGTTAAGAAGATACTATGAAAAATTATGAAAACATGATCTCTACTATTCTCTAATATGATCTCTCTATACAGCATCAATGGATGTAGCGACCCTGTTGCCACTCAGAATTGGACATGGACGATGGTTCATCAGGACTCCACGTGGAAACGATGACAGTCGCTCCTCCACCAATAGAGAAGGTCAAACATCTCTGTTTGTGGCGAGTGGTGGCTAAGGTGGTGGTTAAGGTGGTCTTCAATTCTTTAATTGGAGAAGATTAAGGTGGTAGAAGCTCTGACTTCCGCTCTGCATGGGCCGTGGGCCGCTCCTGGACATAGCCTTTGCCGTCGCCGCCCCAACAAACCTGGCACAGATCCATCGGCTGTTTCGACCTTTCTGGGCTGTTCGCATGAGCTACTAGTAAGGCCAGGAGCGCCACGTTCGTAGCGTCCTGGTTCTGGGGGACTCCATAGAAGGTAGAGAACTTGGACCCTGGATCCGAAGCCCAAGTGACGACTCTCCACTCAAGCGGAGTGGAGATGCGCTTCGCGGGCGTCGCGCGCTTCGCCGGGCATCGCGCAGCTCGCCATGCCGCCCGTCGCCCGTCGGTCGACCGAGCGGTTTCGCGACCGAGCGTGGCGCCTCGGAGGAGAAGCTCCCGGGGCGGCAGCAGAACTGAGACAAACTCCTCGGGCAGGCATGCGGAAGAGAACACCTGGTGGTCCTTTTGGGGGGCAAGGCTGACACCCTCCCGAACAACAATTCCATGGCTTATCACGTCTTTTGCCATGTCATCTGCCTGACATACGAACGTCAGGAAAACGATGAGAAGGAACAGCGCCGTTAGCACCTGCAAAGTATTCACCGTTTTCTCGCCCGGCAAAACGTCGTTCTTCCGTGCCCCAGCTGCAGGTCGCTGTTCATCAAACGCTCTTCCTTCGCCAGGCTCGGCATCAACTGCTGTTGACCTTGACTGGCACTCTCCGGTCCGTATACCATCGGTTCGATGGAGGGAACTGTGTTCAAGACACTGGCATCGCCTGGGGTGTTTTGTTCCCTTCATTTAAATGTCAGGTCAAAAGCCAAGAATTCACAGCATCCATTCGACTCCATTCGTTTTGAGAAAAGACCTGCGACTCTATTCGCCGCTCCCTCCAGCCTGCGCCCCACTCCCCCCAAAACAGTCCAAGGAAGAATCCCACGGTAGACCTTTTTGAGATGGACCCGCTTGGCTCAGTTGGTCTGGCCGGCCGTACCTGCACCGACCCTGGGACCTTCGGACCGCACCCCGGACCTACGGACGACCTACGGACCTCGGTTCGTTGGCGGAACGTCACTTGGGCGGTGTTTCGGTCCGTACTTGAGAAGAAGAGAGGGGGGTAGGCTCTGGTAGCACGTATCTGATTGTGCACTCTCCTGGGGGATTCTCCCCTCTATTCATCCACCAAGCAAGACTCCGACGACACACCGAGCACGGCGCACCTGGGGCTCAGGGTGGCTCAGCGTGGTGGCAATTGGACCCACTTGGAGACCAGAACTTGAACCATGGCCTCTGTGTGAAGCATGTGCTTCGAGAATGAAATGTCCATTCCAAACGGAAAAGCCCATGAGGTCGGTTTTTCTCCACTAAGCGGGGCGCAACCACCAGTGCGAGCAGTTCCTTTTCCTCCACAAACCCACCCATCCTAGTAATTACTCAAATGACTCTTCTACCTGAACATCTTCATCTGTCACAATTCTGTCAACTTGATTCTTGGATCGTCCTGATTTCGAAAGAAAAGACACCACCCACGCCACACTCCCCACCCCCCACCACCTCTGCTGTCCCCCCATCTCACCGCGCGGAGCGCGCCAGGTCCACGCCAAGGGGCTCAAGAAGCGACGCGCATCCGACCAGCAGGAGGGTTCGTGAAGGCTGGGCAAGCAGCAGGTCCTAAGCCGGGCAACCGGCCGTCTCGGTCCAGCGCTTAGCAGGTCAGCGGGGACCAGCGGAAGGAGGAAGCAACACATTTCGGTTGACTGTGCACGGAGCCCCTGTGAAGCAAAGCAACATCTCATGACTCGGCTATGAACCCCAAAACATGATGCCCTGGGAGTCAAAGACGATCAAAAGAAGGGTCTTTAGGGTACCTGAGAAAGGGAATGTCCTTGACTTCAAGATGGAAAAGTCTCGTCTAGACGAGTACTATGAGTACGTCCTCCGGACACCAGTTGACACCAATAGATGCACCTTTCTTGAAGACCTTTGTTCTGACAACAAAGAGCACAGCTGACTGTCCAGAACCTCAACAGAAGCAAAAGAAGCACACGCTCCAATCTGCTGATGTCCATGAGGAAACACATGGACCTTCTCTAAGTATACCATCTCATCTTGCTCTACCTTTCAGGGCTCCAACCAAAACATGTCGATCTTCACATCATTCGGGGGGAGTCGAAGAAAACGTCGGTGCCCTGCCCGGAGCGATCCACCGTCCTCGATGCTTTTTTGGGTAGCCGTTCTCCGGATTTCGATCCATTTGGACGAAGATTTCCCCGACATGTCGTGCCCGACATGTCGTGGCGGTCGGCTATATAGATAATACTCCTCATGCAACGGACCACATGGACATCCCCCCCCAGGAAGAAACACAGTCTGGGTTGTTGAGGAACATAGCTCATCCAGGGCCACCTCTGTGGAGGGTGTAGGTCATGTTTGAATGACATGCATCGTCCGTTTCGAGGATCCAACTCCCTCCGGGCGGCTGAAAACTTCGAGGGCCTTCCCAGCAGGAGGGATTCCCCAGCACGTTGTGCGCGCCCTGCCACACACTTCTGTCGGTCTGTGAGTGAGAGTGAATCCCTACACTTCCAAGACCATTCAAAAAAGGGTCAACACCGGGTTTCTGTCGTGTTTTCAATCCTTCGGTGGTTCGGGATGACCCGCCAGTTTTAATTTTCATGGTGGGCGGTGGGCCAGGACGTCAGACGACGAATGACATGTGGGGGCTTTTGGGAAAGAACATCGGTCGGGTCTCCAGGGGGGGTTGGAAGGAGCGAAGATAGCGGACTTTGGGCTGTTGCTTTGAGCACTGGAGGTCATCACCCAAAATCAAGTCTTCCTCAAAAGGAGCACGAAACAGGTGAACGATCTCTAAGTGACAGATTTGGTCCATCACGTGAAATGGCGTGAATGTCATAGTTCTCTCTTCACATCTCTTCACAAATCAAGCAAACATGATTTCTCCACCTGCAGCGAAAAACCTGCGATGCGAAGGAACTCAGCCCGTCACAGCAATTGCAAGCCGCGAAAGAGGCTTACAAACTTTAAACTGCCACAAGGAATACCCGTATCCGTTGGGTCTATCCTATTACCTGTAACAATGGATGATGATGGTTAGTATAAGGCCTTGTTCAAAAATGATGATAATTGTTTACTGACTGTTACAGGTAATAGGAGAGAATTAACGTATCCGAGTGTTGTTTGGTTTTTGATTAGAGCCTAACCCAGAACACTCCAAGGACTTATGACATACTCACCCCCTTTGCTATACTCCACCACTTACCACAGGTGTAATTCTTCGACTAGCGGATTTCCACTCGCAGTTCTGGTAACACCCTCCTTTCTGATGAAACCTGTCTAACTCCCACTCCAACTCCATCCTACAAACGGTTTAAATATTCAGTTAGCCATGTGTATCAAGCATTCAAAGATCAGGTCACGGTCACCTATTGTTGCCCGCCCCGCGCCGTACCGTGTTGTGTCCGAATTCGCTGGTGCCTCGCCGCAGCACATGTCATAGCTGAAGAGGCCTAGATGTGAGCAACCGAAGACGATGTGGGACGCCCTGGTGGCAGAAAAACAGGCCTTTCCCGAACTATGAACAGACTATCAGACGAACTAAGAACAGAACTACCCACTGAACTATGAACAGACTATCAGACGACCTAACAGACGACCTAACAGATGAATGAGACGACACTGGGAAACCTCCGGGTGCCCATGACCGGCCGAGTCAAGCCCCAGACCTGGAAGACGTGGAACTGCGGCACGGGACTGGGGTGGTGCGGTGCGTTTTGGGACCCCTGGCCTGATCGGCAGTGCTATGGCAGTCCCAGATGGGTCGTGTCTGGGTTTTGGGGTCTTCAACCTCTGCCGGTCCTCGAAATTCTAGGACCCTGGTTGCTGAAGAGGTGATGGTGATGACGACGATGAGTTTTCAGACGCAGTACGAAATGGACAGGCCGATTCAGCTTATGACCAGCTGATGGACATGTGATGTGGTAGGTGTGTAGGTGTACCGCTCCGTCCGTTTCAATGACTGCTCATGACTGTCATCACACTGCAACTCCGAAAAGGACTCAATCAAAACCAAACTAGGCAAATGAAACCAAAATAAGTTGGATTCTCCAAGGCTTCTGAAGACAAGCCCCCGGGCCATCTTCCCAGCACAAGGGATTTCCTCGCAGGACGGCGGGAAGCAGGCAGGCGGCTGTCGAGCGCCGGTGAACCAAAGCATGATCATCTGGTCAATCTACTTACCCGTTCGGATCAGCCTATAGAATCTAGAATTGGACCTATATATGTCAATGTGGGCTTTTCACTGAGGCTGTTCATTGGATGCGTTTCAGAGGATTTGAACTTCAATGGCAGTGGGACCCTGCTGCACTTCAATGGCAGGCGCATTGGAAGCGCTTGTTGGTCCATCATTAGGTGAAACATGGTGAAACTCCATTTCAGTCAGAGAAACGGCCCCAATGAGGTGTCTCTCTCCCAAAGCACCCCGTGCGCGTCAAAACACCTCACACCGGTGACCCTCTGTCTGCGGGCCGTACCACGCCCCGCCCCGTACCACGCCCCGCCCCAAAGGCCGGTCGTACTAGCCGGTCCTGGTGGCCGGAGTTCCATGGCACGTCCATGGCGGACGGAGTGTCGTGTGGAGTGGAGGGCTTGGACGGGAGGCGGGAGGCTCCCCGTGGGGTCCAGGTGGGAGGTGTTCTGTTCGTGTTGTGTGGGTCGGAACGAGTGGCTGGCAGGTGGGAGCTAGGACCTAGTAGCGTCCTTGTTACTAGTAGCCATGCCCTTGGCTCCGATAGTAGCGAAGTTGTTTCGTCTTGGAGACTTGGAGGATTTTTTGGGAAGCTCTGGAGGCCACGTCTTGATGCGATGAGAGGTAGATCGACTTCCGTGGTCGAGATGTTAGAACCGAAGTGGCTGGAGACTCTTCCGAAGATTAGGGCTTATTCATTGGAACAGAAGGGAGATGGTCTCAGTTCGGCATTGGCATCGGGACGAATTCCTACTGACCTTCAGTCACTGAGCCTGAAACACCGGACGCAGCGACGCGGCGCAGCCATCGGCGCAGCGAGATCGGCGCAGCGCAGCCACGTGGTCCAGAGCGCCCCGGATGTTCGGAACCCACGAAGCGGTGGGTTCGATGGATAAAGAAAAGGCGTCTCTATAGCCGATAGCGGAAGTGACTCACAGCATGTAGACAGACTCATTTGCGAAGAGACTAGACCACACGCAGTTGAATTGAAGAACTGAACTTTATGGTGGGGTGAAATATCAAGAGTCGACTCAATAGCGAGTCAGTATCTTTGCACAAGTCCTCAACATGCTTTTCTGACCACCTCCGTGTAGAAATTCCTAATTGAAAAGGCCCCACGGTCGCATGACAATCCACTGATCACCTATACCCCCCCCCCCCACACACACACCTATAGAGATAGAGCATATCGGAACATAACACATAGTATACCCCGCCAAACGGACACTGGAGCACCAATTCCACCGCACTTTGGAGGAATGCCAGTGCAGAACTTGACATTTCACCAAAAGGTTCAAGGACTGGTTAAAGGATGGCTATCCACTGACAAAGCGGAGTTGGATGGACCCCCGACGAACATCGAGCTCGTGGTTGTTCCACGGTGCCTGGGTTTCGGCGCCCCTTGTCGGGCCGAAACCGAAGGAAGGAAGGAATGGGAGCACCATGGCGAAACGTGGAGGTGTTCGTGAATGAGGTCATGGTCCGTAGCGATGCTCAAGCTGCACTGCAGAAAATCGCTAAGTGCCCCCATGTTCGCCTCATTCATGTTCTTTTGAGTTCAGGGACACTCCCCTTCCGCGTTCCCCTCCAAATCCGAGCAAATGCCCGAAGCAATTCCCCTTTGAACCACTGCGCGGAGTGGGGGGGAGAAGGTGCGGTGCGGAGGAGTGGCAAAAGCATGACCCTAAGACGAAAACCTTCGAAATCCATGGATGGGGAGAGTAATGGTGGCTTTTCCGCTTTCAGCCAACCACTCCTTCGTATGCTTATAGTATATCCCCTTTTCGGATACACATCCACGGGCTTTTTCAGCCCCGGTCCCACCGAGAAGTGTCCACTGCTTCTACTTCGGTGCCCAGAGGTGAAGGTCAGAGCTTGCTCGGCCGAACTGGTGCTCACCTGGTGCCACCCAGATCTCTTGGACATCGAGGCCTGGATATCTCAAGTTCTATCCCTAAAAAGATGGGGACTGGCATATTTGCCTAGGCCATGGACCCACCTTTTCAACCACCCAAAAGGCCAAATATGTCAGTCCCATTCGTCGGGTCGAGCCCTTGGCGACGCGTGTCGCCGCCGTCCTCCTCGACGGCCTGTTGAGTCTTCAAGAGCTCGTGCAGCTGATCCTCCACCGTGGCCTGCCTGGGAAGCGGTCGCCGTCGCCGCTGCCGCGAGACGCGTCATGGACTCCGTGGCGCGAGACCGACAACGAGTCGTACAAAGCGCGCGCCCGCGCCACACGTGGAGGATGGCTACCGCTACCACTCCCGTAGCTGCCGTCTCCGCGACGGCGCGAACGTCCGAGCGCCGAACGGGCGCTACGCCGGTGAACGACGAAGCGCCGAGAAGCGCCTCTGGCGGTCTGCCTCCTTCTCATCTTTCAGCTTCTGGCCGGCGCGAGCGGCTCTCGCGAGGAGAAGCTCCCGCGTGGCGTGTGTGGGAAGGTAGAGAGGTGGTCGGGTGGTGCTAGCTATAGCGGGGTTTGGGGGTGTAGAGGGGTCGGGTCTGGTGGGAATAAGGGGAGACATGGAACCGTGGTTTTCTTCAGAATGACGAGAGCTATAGATGGAAACATAACAGCTTGAAGCAAAAACAAGACAGATGGAAGGAAGCTTTGAAGCCTTTGACTTCGTGGATTGAAGTTTGATCCTGAAGCAAACTCAAAGAGACACGTTTTGGAGTCGACCCTGACCGCCTATATTGAACCCATAGTTTCTTCCTCCTGACTGCGCTCACAGAGTAAATGAGGGGTATCCCTCTCTGCATGTCAATCACCCAAAGAGAAGTCAGGAACTCCACACGCAAGGCGTGCTCCCTTGCTGCCCCAAGATATCATGAAAACGCTGCCACCCGAAGCACCAAGCAACACCGACCAAACTCTTGCAAAGCCGCTTGGCTACTTTGACCGAAAGACAAGAACGCCCTTTCCTCTCTCTTTCTCCAGCCCACTTCCAGTTTGGGTGAACATCTCTCTTGGACCTTCTATTGAAGGAACAAACCTGGCACCACATCAGAAACTCCATGCCCCAAAAAGGACCTGCGGAGCAGGTAGAAAGCCACGCCGGTCGCCCTTCCAGCTCAACCGCGAAACGCGGTCGCCGACCTGCACTTCGGCTGCTTGCTTCCACAGGGCCACCTTCTTCTTCTGACGATTCCTGGTCGCGAGTGATTTCGGCATCGCGCGTGAGGGCAAACGCCGGCATGCTGCGCCGGCGTGCGCGGGCGTGAAACGGCCCGATGGCGTGTTGGTGTTTTTTGGGCGCTGGGTCAGGGATTCACAGGGCAGAGGCACTTGGATTTGGCTAGGGAACATAGGAAACATCCAACAAATTCGCTGCAATATGCGCTCCCCAAAGGGGATTCACTAGCTGGGACACAAACTTTTGGAAAAACATTCAGAGCAAAACCCATGTCAAACGCAGCAAAGCCACTCCGAGTGAAGCAAAGTCAGTGCCCAGCCGGTCCCTTGGTTCGGACCCTCCATATGAGACTGACCCCGCTCCAGGGTCGCGTCTGGGTGCAACGAAAACCTTTGACCAGACCGTTCTTCAGGGTGTTGATTCCCTGTCTGCTGAAACTTCCCCCTGACCTGTCTGACATGCACGTCCTGTCTGACAGGTCAACTTGTAAAGCTTCCCCCGAACGCCTTTCTGAACACTTCAACGGCTTCTTCATCCACCGTTCATTGGTCGTTTGCAAACGGGAACCCGGCGGATGGACGTGGAAAGCACCGGTTTCAAGGTGCCATTGGACGCTACGAACGGAGCCAAGGACGCTATGAACCGGGGCTCCTGGCCGTACTACTAGGAACGGCTGTTCGCTATTAGAAACAAAACATAAATAGAATTAGAATTACCACTTCCATGACTATTTCAATTATGCGGTCCATCATTTACCCTGCTGACCGCTTTCAGGCACTGCATTCGACTGCTTTTAGGTGTCGACTGCCCTCCGTTTTGCAGGACTCAACGTGGTTGGTCTGTTGGGGAGGATGGTGGCATCACTGGAAGTTCCAAGTCCAACCATCGTAAGCGAGGTCTGCCTGACCGGCACGAAAACAATCAAACCTCCACAAGCATGATGTGGTGTTCATATAGTTAAATCATCCACCGTCACAGAACAACGGGCGTTCCCCGCGTCTTCATAGGGCATTGAACTAACTAACTGAGGACCATTTTGATCAAACATATAAACCAACCCAACCTCACCAGCATTGTTTGGACAATCGTGGCTAAGGCTACCACAAGTCACCCCTCCTAGCCAGTACAAAAGGCCAACCAACTTGTTAAGAACCTGTCTGCTCAGGGGATTTCCCTTGAAACATGATCACCTTGCCGTGGAAAACGACGCGTCCACCGCACTCGCGCGCCTGGCGAGGATGTTGGACATCTTTGTCACCTCCTTCCTTGGTCAGCCGGTGAATAATCTTTGGACTGAACAAAAAACGACCCTTCAGTCGACTGCAGAAGACCCGACTGCCAGAAAAGCATGGTTTAACAGCACTTCGCGAAGCCTTTTCTTTGAGGCTTTCCTTCAGAAGACTTGTGGATTGTCTCATCAAATGTAGGCTGAACATAGCTGAACCACTCGAAACATTTCGAACCACCCAGATTGGCAGACTTCGATTGAGCCAACATGGGATCCTTCCGATGACCACAGCGCGGTCGGTGAAGACGAGGACTCGTTGGACCACTGCGACGGACGTTGGATCGGTTCCCTCCGTCCTGACGCCGAGTGAGCACACAGTGAACACAGTCATACGGGAGGGAGTGGAGAGAAGTGGCTCCACTGTTCGGTTGTACGTCTACAACCAAGTATTCGCAAAAGAATGGTTGACCTGGTGGTGGAGTGTACAAATCCTTGTAGTAACAGGGTTCAATTTGGTAAAGACCATTAAAACTAATGGTTGCTCGAATATGTTCAAATCGTGTTGATGATCAACATCAAGATTTTGTCCTTCTCACGTCACCCGATGACCTTTTTGGTTAGAGAGAAATACCTGATTTCATTCCCCTAGACGTCCAGTTCGACTCTATTTTGCCCCCCCAAGTTTCCAGAGATCTCAACATCTCGTCACCGAATTCGCAAACATCGAGTTGTCCTCCCAGCTGCCAGTCGGGGTCCATACAGCTGCCGGGTCGGTTCGCGACGGAAACGGATCCGCAGTCCCAACAGAGGTTGAAGAACCCTATAGACTATCCCAGTTCGGTGCCCCAGGTAATGGGTCCTAGGTCAGGTCCCTTAACCGCTCGAGCGGTGGTTTCCAGGCGCTTCAACCCATCTCGCGACCCCTTCGACCGCTTCCCCGACCGCCAAATCGTTGTCGTTTCGTCGCCGATGCGCTGACACTCCGTGAGCTCCACGATGCGCGATCCTCAGAGTTTGCGGATTTCGGTGGGCGACTTGGAAAAGCATGGACAAAAGACAACCAAAAGCAAACATTGTTACTACTAGTACGGCACTTGTTACTAGTAGCGTGGCACTTGTTCCTAATAGCTTCTTGTTACTACTAGTAAGGCACCTGTTACTACTAGTAAGGCACTTGTTTCTACTAGTTTCGAACCGGGCCTACTCCAAATTATTGTTTCTACTAGCTTCTTGTTCCTAGTAGTAAGGCACTTGTTACTAGACGCGATGCACTTGTTACTAGTAGCTTCTTGTTTCTACTCCAACAAAAGAAAAGGACACCAGAAACGGTTCCGGCGCTTGCGCCGCTCGGATGCATCCAGAAGTGCTTCTGCTTGGGACTGGGTGTCCAGGTTTGGAACTGAGAACCATCTTTACACCCACTAAGGTGGCGGATTCAGCATCTGGAGGTATATGATCCGCAGCAGAAACCAAAACCGCCGCAGTAGCGATTCAACTTCAATAGCCTTCATTATTATGTAAACGACCTGTTCAGTTTGTGGGCCAAATCTACGCATCAACAATGTCACTAAAGTTAAACACCCAAACCTCATGGTGAACTTCTTGGCCACCTGGGGCTTCTGCACTCATGGAATATTTACATAATTGCATCGACCCAGCTTTAGGAACTGCCGATGTTTGCTTGGTCGCTTGGGCCAATCCTCATGTTTTTCTCTTTCTTTCGGCGGTCAGTGAGAGTCTCTGCGGTCTGTCGCTTGGTGGCTTCCCCCTCCAAAATCACGGTCAGAACGAGGGTAGGAGGGTCTACCCTCCGGTCCAAATGACTGAGACAGGGCAGAGAGAGAGGGAGGGAGGGAGAGAGAGAGCTACCCTCTGGTGACTTGTTGGACAACCCGACAGCGAGACAGAGGTGTCCAAGACAACCTGAATAGTGGTTTCTTGCACCTTGGACATGATAGCTTCAGATGTCATTATTTGGTAGGGTCATGTTGTCATGCTGTATCATGCTTGACACGCACACCACATGTGAGCACAATTAGGATTAGGACGCTATTAGGTGGAGGCCATCGCAAGTAGGTTGGAGGCCATCCCTATAACTAACAAGGAAGCTACTAGGGGCTCCTGGCCTTACTACTAGGAGCGTTCGGACGCTACGTTCGGGGCTCCTGGCATCGCTACCAACAAGAAGCTACTCCTAGCAAGGTCACCGTTCCACCTTCGCTTCAGCATAGGCGCGATAGCGATCGGGCAAGCTCTTCTCCCGAATCTGGTCGTTGCGCTCCAACTGCGGCTTCGAGCCGGTGGGCGGTGTTTGATGTGTCGACTCGATCGACTCGAAACCAGGATGGGGCGTCTCTAAGTTGCTGAAGATATGGGGCGTCTCTATACTGTTACTGCTGTACTGTTCTTTACTGAAATGAACTGTCAGCGTGGAGAGACCGGGCAAGTCTCACTACTTGTAACAAGACTTGAGTCAATGGACTTATGCAACCTGTGGACATTCAGTGGGACTGAAATCGAAATCTACCGAATTCCACTGATTTCGGATCAATGCTAAAGGGGCTTCGCTTTCTGGGCCCTCGCAGTCAGTCAGAATGGGCAAGTGCTACTAAGAAGCCTCACCCAAAAGGAAAGTAAGAGTCTTTGGTTGCCGAGATAAGCATGTCATGTTCAGGAAACGGGAACATCCCAAATAAATCGGTTCCTAAACGGGTCACTCTCATATATCTGTTCTTCATGATCTTTCTTCAGTTCGTCATGGTCAAGAGGTGAGCAGCAAAGAGCCCACAAGCGAGATGCGTACGAAGACCATGCGGAAGACTTGCATGCTGTAATTGTTTACTGACTGTTACAAATATTTGGACAGACCCAAGAGATCATCATCGACCACGCTCATCATTCACCAAGAACGGTCCCATGTGGCCAATGCCCCTGACGCAGCCAACCAGGAACCAGCGCCCATCCCGATACAGGGTCTTGTGTGCGCAAGTGATCCCCAGCCATTCTACCATCCAACTGGAGTACCGACCACTCCAACGCAAGTCTGCAAGCACTTTTCTTTTTTGAGCAATGTTCACAACCTTGGAGGTGGGCACTTGGAAGCCATGCCACAGCATTGGAAGGGCAGCTGCTTCTGTCCCTTCTGGAAAGCGCCCAAGCAGGTACCCACGTACTACCAGGTACCCCGTGCGAGGGACATCGATGGACCGGGTGATACGCAGAAGGTCGCAGCTGAACGATGTCACACACCGAGAGAGGAAGCAGCAAGCTGAAGAGCGTCCACAGAGCCGAGCGTGCACATCCACGACGTGCACGACAGTATCCAGGCTCACTTTTTTACGCCTGGAGATCAAAAACACACGATGATCACACGCTATACCCGGCGCACCGCGCACGGCACCCAGGCGCACCAGTTGTTTGATCTTCATCAGAAACCTCAGGTCCATACCTCAGGGCGCTACGCTGCTAGGCGTGTTTTCTCTGATCCTGAACACTCACACAAGAAGCTACGACCGGTTGGAGGCCATTGCGGGTCGTAGGTTGGAGGCCATTACTACTAGTAGCAAGAGGCTACTCATGAACCCTGTGCCTGTGCGATTTCACCTTCCAAAAAGAACATACAAACGCCTCCGTGCTTTTTGGTGGGAACGCCCAAGCACATCAACAAATTCGTCCGATAGGCCTGGAGATCCAGTCCCGAGCAACACCACATCAATATATGTCAGGAAATTCTGATCCAAGTAGAAACACAGTGGTTGGGAATGCTGCAGGCATGAGACACATTCTAGTGTTTCTGCTTGGAGCTGGCTTCCCCCATGCACCGGCGACATGATGTGACATGGTGGAGCGGTTCTTCCCGCCCAAAACGGTCCATGTCTGGCTCCCGCAGCTCAAACAAAAACATCAGAATACTCATCAGAATATATCAGAATATATCAGACGAATTACTGCGTAGTTTTAGATGAATCATCGGTAAACTTCTACCTCTTCGCCTCTTCCAACCATGACGAACGGGTTGGGTCCAGTTCGGTAGCTCAAACGCCGACCTCCTGGTGCCGAGCTCCCGCGCTGTTGAGCTCCAAATTCAACTGGACGACGCTCCCGTTCTGCAACAGGGCCTCATCCGAGCGAGCGCGACGTCGGTCCGAAGCACGCCGTGGACTCTCCAACGGCCGTAAGGGCTTGAAGCCTTCGGTCATCGCTGAATGAACAGGAAGACAGGTGGGAGAGAACCAGCAGGGTCCGTTTTGAACCACCAACATTAGTCTGTGGTATGCAGAGGGGTATGACTCCAACGTGAGGGTAACCACTCCCTTGCCCATCGGGTCGATTCTGACGATCCATTCGCAGATTTGGGTCGGGCCGGTGGTCAGTAGCATGGCGGTATGTCGCACATTCTATCTACCAGGAGTGTCCCGGATGGGCCTGCCACTTTGCCTAGACAAGCCTGGTTGGCATGTCCAAGCATAGAGTTGAATTACATCTGATATCTTCACATCTTCTGCCTCCTTTTTTGAGGTCTACAGCTTTTCGAACGGTACATCACTTTTGAGGAATCTATGGTGTTGACCGTTCGTCCATCTGCACACCCCGTCTATTGAAGGGACCGCACCCTGTTTTTCTCCAAAGCCTTCCCAAACCCCGGTCTTGGAGGTGCACCAACAAACTCCATTCTTTCTTCTTCCGGTTGTGTCTATGGCATTTGGGCGAGTGACTCCCAAAATCATGAAACCCTTACGGTAAACCCAGTAAACCTTCACCATGGCACAGGTGTCCCCACATTCTGAACTCATTCTTTCCCACGGCTGCCTTCACATGCGTGTACCGAGCTCCTTTCTGCACTGCATGTTGCTTTCACGGCTAGACAAACCCACACAACTTCTTCCCAAAAAACAGATTTGGTGCGCCCTCCCATCGCCCCTCCCACCAAAAAACCAACAGAACAAATAGTTAACCTTTGACTCTTCGACTCTGAGTTCATCTCCGGTCAGCTTCCTTTATTCTCCTGTTGAGTCATCTTCCTCCTCCGCCCTTCACGGAATGCGCTCCGCGCGCCGCGCCCGCGCGTGCGCCTCCTCGAGCGCTTCGGCGGCGGCGTCCCGCAGGGCGTTGTCCCTCAAGGAGAGCGACTCGAGGCCTCGCGCTCGACGCGAGAGTTGCGGGGCGAACGCGTGTCGCGACCACGTGCAGCGACTCGATGAGGGTCACCTGGAAGATGGACACGGGTGGACGAGACGAGACGAGACGAGGATGTTTGGGGAAACCAAGGTTTTCGGGGGATTTGGTGTGGCCATTTGGACCGATCGCGCTGTGGAAAGGACCAATCGAGAGCCTGTCTTCGGACTGGATGACACACACACACACTGAGTGATGCTTTGGGCAATTTGAGGTGAGAAGACAACGCAAGACGCGCCTTGAAATTGGAAGTGGTTGCCCAAAGCATTGGTCAGTTGCTTTTCATCATCTTGAGGCTTTCTCTTTTGAACACACACACACACACTCTGACATTGGTTTTCAGTGACTCAGTTACCACGATGGGAAGAAAGGCGAAGAACCGCAAGGTGGAAAAGTCAGCTGAAACAGTATGGTTGAACATGGTTTCCAATTGCACTCGAAAGACGCGGCTGCAAAGCTGTGCAATCAAACCGGCGGCGCAGCTGCTGGGGACGAGTACGTTTGGGGGAAGTATCGTGAAACCACCATGAAGCAAACCAAGAGTGGAACAGCTTGTGCAAAAGTTAAGTGGCAGGTACACACCAAAGCGTCCTTTGGTGCTTCCCCTGTCACATCCCAGCTTCGTTGGGCCAGGTTGGATGTGACAGGCCTGGCCGGTCGCCCACATCAATCATATTATTAAATCAACAATAATATAATTAATGTGGGCGGTGCAAGCTGACACTTATTTTGACTGCCGAGCGGAGAAATTAAGCCTGTTCAACAGACCCGGAGATCGGAACGCGTTCCGGTTCTCCTTTGATGATCGCCACAGAGTATGTTTTCTGAGCAATCGTCACGATTTTGGACACTCCGATATCAATCGTGTGCAGCCGACGGCTCGCCACGAGACACGTCAAAGGACACAGTTCAAGGATCATCTGCGCCCCCGGCGCGTTGATGTCGGCGCTGAAGAACATGAGAGGTCGGTTGAAGAGAAAAGCGAGGGACACACTTGGCTGCAATGCTTTGGATGTGCAAATGCGGTATGGCAGCCCCTCGGTATCGGCAAACTTGTCATTGTCCAAGATCTGTCCGTAAATTACCCCTGCTTGTGAAACGGTGGTGGTATAAGTGACTAGTGGATCAGTTGGACGAAACCCTTTGTCCAGGGGTGGACACACACA